GAGGTTTCCTTTGAAAAAATTCCAAACATGAACATAGAAACGTTTGGACAAACATTTCTGTTTAATCCCAACACAATGATGTTAAATATAAGAGACATATATTGGGATGGAAAATGGCTCTAGTTTTGTCTCATGGATCACTGCATAGCCCTCTACAAAGAGGTGACTTTTACCCTAGGCAGCTAGTCTGAAAATCCTGGAGGTTGAAATGAGAGAGAGGTGTGTGATTTTTTTGTTTGTTTTAAAAAGTCAAGTAAAGAAAGGCTGGAGAACAGCTCAGAACGGATGGACTGTTCAGTGAGGTTTTAGGATACCACTCGCAGGGTGAAATCCTGGGCGTATTGAAGCCAGCGGCAAAACTCCCCTGGACTTTAGCTGGGCCATGCAAACAGACAGATTTGCAGTGTCGCAGCTCCAATTCCACAGCGCATCTGTGATGCATTTTCATTGTGGGGCCAGGGCCCTTATCCAGTGATAAACTCACTGATTAACTTTTATATGGATTGATACTTTTATTTATTGTGCTCATAAACACTCCCGACCACACACACTTGAGCTCTGCATCTGCCATCTCTCATGGGGCTCAGGCCAGAACTGTGCGCTTCACACATTTGTTTCCATTTCAGATCCTCACTCCAAGCAAAGGGAGAGCTTGTCTTTTCCTCCCTCAGGTCTCTTGGCTTTTTTCCTCATTAGCTTTTCATCTGGTGGAGAGGATTCATTCCTTGTTAGCTATGGAGATGGATTGTATAGCAGGTGGGGCAGAGCGACTGCTTCACCAGGCAGTGTGAAGGCAAATGTGGCCATTGTCTTTTGGCTTGTGTAAAAACACCCCTTGTTAATTCTCTCTCTCTCCCAGAAATAAAGGGGTGTATTCAGTTCCCATGTGGATGCAAAATTTCCTGGTAGTTAAATTAGAAGACTGCAAGTCAGGATCCTTGGATTCTATCCCCAGTGTTGACACTGGTTTGTTCTGTGGCCTTGGTCAAATTATTTAACTTTCCTGTGCCCCCCCGATTATCCCTGTCAGCTGAAACATGCAGGTCTCTTAAGTCATTCCTAGAGAGGAAGAGAACAGCTGGGGAGGAGAGCCAGTGAAAACTCCAGAGAATGGGGAGGAATCCAGTTTAATCACTGTGGTAAAGTGCTTTGAAACCCTCTGATGAAAGTAGGCTATAGAAATGTGCAGTGTTTCTTGTCACAACAGACCAACAATTGTGGCCTTTTCCTAGAGATGGAGAGGGTGTGGGTTTTTTGGCAGCACATTGACCAAGTTCCAAAAGCCGGAGTAATTCAGACCAGATGCCTTTTTTCAGGCCTCCAGTATCTGAGGTGCCGAGGACTGTTTTGTGGGATTGGTGTCCATGTCTAAGTCACCACCATCTCCCCCTTACCCATACCTTGGTCAGTGTCTGTGAGGGACAGTAGAGTGTTTGCTTTAAACAGACAAAGCCTTTGCCAACCCATCACCTGGGTTCATTTGCCTATGAGTCTGGGCTGCATTTTTGTTGCAGCTGTGTGCGAAGGCATGGATTCTTCCATCATATTTCTACGTGGGTGTGACGGTATC